TAGGGAAAGGATCGGCGCAAACGAGTACACGCCTTTTGCAGCTGGACGAACTCTCCTCTTCTTTCCGCCTTCGTCGCTGATTCGTTACGAGCTTGACCCGGGCAACCAGGTTCCCTGGCTTCCACCTCGGTTCGCTCGCGCGAGCATTTCCTCTCGAAAGTTCTCCTCGAATCGATCATCCCTGATACGATCCTCGGCGGTGAAAGACGGTCCGTCGCGCGGAACTATCCCGCGATAACGTCTCGGTTCGATTAATTGTTTAATTAAGCATACGTGACGGTCCGTTCGCATCCGGTTTCTTTCCGCCGTGAGAGAAATCTCCGTGGAAGAGCGCATTTCGTATGACCGTGCACGTTTTCTCGGCGTCTGCTCGCCGATCGGACGGATGCAAACCAGAACGGAACCCCGGCCGGATGGCCACCGCGTTAGGAAATATTATTCCACGCGTTTTCTTTCCATCGTCGCGATTCCATCGATGCTAATCGCGACCCTCTCCGTGCGTTCCGCTCCCGTACCGCGTCGTCACGTGTCGAACTAGATGTGAACCACGTCTGTGCGTGTTGACGCGCGCACGCATCGAGCTCTGCTCTCGGCTCGGCACGTGAGATCCGGCACTGATTCAGCGCACTCCTCCGATTACGCTCGCGTGTAATTCATTCGCGATCCGCGCCACTGTCGTTCCAGACCGAGATTCCAATTGTCGTTCTTAATCGCGCGAGTTCGCCTGACCCTGACGCTTCTATCGTCCGCCGGCTGCTAGTCTAGATTCTCTTCGGGCCGAGTCGAACCCTGCGCGAACGGCCGCTATCTAGGTCCCATCTTTCGTCGATATCGCGGGGTCGGACGTGCTCTGCTTAAACTCTAGACTCGGCCCGGCACTGCTAACGATCCACGCTGCTGGCTTCACGTCGATTAGCAGAAGAAATAGTTGGCACGAACCGGGAAGGTCTCGAACGCGCGTTCACGCGCGCCATTGCGATCGATTTTCGAGCGATCGTTCGCCCGCTCCGCTCGTATCGACCCAGCGATCGGAGAGAGCTGCCTGGAAACTGCTCTTCGCGTCATTCCGATCGGCTGGCTTGGGCCTCGAAGCGTGCAGAGTCCTTGGCTGAACGACCTTACACGGGTTAATATCGGCGAATAATTGGGAAGCTCGCGAGATTACGTTCCCTCGCAAAGTCGCGCACACCCTCTCCTTCCTGCTTTCGGCACGACCAAGTTCTCCGTCGTGTGCCAAACGGTCGCGTGTCTGCTAACGAACGCCGTGTTTTATTCACCGGTATAATTCTACACGCTCGTTCGATTAGCCACCGAGTTTCCACTCGTTATTCGGAGGTGGCAGAAGCGAGTGACTTTCGTTTTCGACCGTCTCTCCGTTCCCTCCGACGATACGCCTAACCACGGCTCACGCGGCAAAGTTCCTCGAGAGTTTGCTTCGCGACACTCGGATTCCCGTCACGAAGTTGACGTTCGTAAGGTCACCCAGGGAATATCTTTGTCCCGGCGCATACGAATTCGGCTGGCGACGTGGTTTTACGTCTCGGCCAACGTTTCGGAAGCCACTTTCCCGCCGCGATATCTCGCGGATGCGAAATCCACTCGCGACTATGGCGTCTACTCGCGCGGCAATTCGAATCGTCGGAAATTTAAGAGCCTCCGATACATTGATGACCGGTGACCATGATACCGCAACGACCGCACGCGTTAACCCGCGAATCTGGTCAATTCAATTTCTCGCGCGGAGCGCAATCAACGGAGGAAGTGGTACCTCCGATCAGGAATTATAGCGCGATTACGATGCCGCCTCGAATTGGAGGCGGAGACGAACGCGCGGGAATTAACGTTACTGACGCGTGTTCCGCGTTTCTCGCATTTTTCTCGCATTTTTCTCGCCTTTTTCTCGCCTTTTTCTCGCGATTAATCTCGGTCTGCAACGATACCTGTCAACGCGTCTGTCGAGAATAGTCGAGAGACGGCATCGATATCGGGGTACACCCAGGTCGATATTCGTCATTGCGCAAAACAGTTGCGACGAGTATAATTAAATACTTATATACGTTCGCGCGATCTGCGGAATATATTAAGTAACGGCCGGCATGTGTTTGCGACGTATGTAAAAATGGTATTAATGAAATCGGCGGCGCGTGCGCGATCAGCGTAATTGGCGCAATCGTGAAACGCATACGTAGACCTTTTACCTTTCGTTCTGTTGCAGGGAAGAACCTCTACAATAACGAGCATGTAGCAATTAAATTGGTGAGTTGATTGAAATTTTAGACACAGAAATTTTCCCCCCAATGGCCCCACCTTGCCGCCAATCCTCTTCAACGCCGAGGAAACGATACGCCACTGTCGGCTTATCAACTCTTTCGCAGTGTCGTGAAATTACGAATTCGGGTCCAAAAAGTGTCCATTTTCTTTTTAATTCGAGAACACTTTGACGTGTAGTGAAAAATGTAAAAAAATATGCTTTATACGTAGTTTGTTAGTAATTAGTCCGTGTATAGTAATTGATGTTCTGCCCGCGACTGTCACGGGATAAACTGTTTGGTACCTGACGCTTTACCCGTGACTGTCACGGAATAAACTGTTAATGGGTTAATTCCCGTTGACGATTCGACTTGGCGTCGGATCTCACGAGCCCCGTGTAAAATTTTGCCCAACTCTTACGAATCGTCGCGAGCTATTCTTAAACGATGTCCCTTTCCGTGCTTGCAGGAACCAATGAGGTCAAAGGCGCCGCAGCTACACTTAGAATATAGGTTTTACAAATTATTAGGTACACTTGGTGAGTATCCGCGGTATGAAAATAGCAAGTACGCTTGAATATTTCATATTTCGATCGATTAACGTGACAAATCGTGCGCAGAGGGTATACCAGAGGTATACTACTTCGGTCCTTGGGGGAGGTACAACGCCCTGGTGATGGAACTTCTCGGACCAAGTCTGGAGGACCTGTTCGACCTCTGCGGTAGGAGGTTTACCCTAAAGACCGTACTCAAAATCGCCACACAGATCGTAAGTGAAACCCAGCTATCGTTAATCAATGTTTTTCGACCCACGCGAATTTCCTAGACGAGCGATCGCCTCGAGTTCCGCCTCGATCGATCGATCGAGGATCTCTTCCAATGTTCCTACCTTCCCCACCAATTAGAAAGTCTAATCGAATTCGGTTAGATTACCTCGACGCGGTGAAGGCGTTCCACGTTTTTGAGAAAACACTCCTTTTTTAATGCGAAATAAAAATCGAGATATCGAAGAAATCGTGTATCGAACGGTAGAGAATATTCGCAAGAATATCCAATTTATGCGAAATTTTTGGAGAATCCAAATATTTAGAATACTAAACAAAATGACTTGGAACGAATTTCGTATTATTGTTAGAATGAGAAGAGAAAATTCTCAATTTCTTGGAACGTCCGAGGTAAACGAACTTTTTAGATGTAAATTAACTGTTTGCGCAATTTGTTGTCTAGTACTAATCTGGAAATATGGTTTCCCCTTTCAGCTCCACAGGATAGAGTACGTTCATAGTCGGCATTTGATCTACCGCGACATCAAGCCGGAGAACTTCCTGATAGGACGAAGCACAACCAAACGAGAGAAGATTATCCACATCATCGATTTCGGACTGGCCAAAGAGTACATAGACCTGGAGACGAACAAACACATACCGTATCGGGAACACAAAAGCCTGACGGGCACAGCGCGTTACATGAGCATCAACACGCACCTTGGAAAAGGTAACTTTTACTCCGCCGGTTTAGATATCCGTGCAGAAGACGGCGACCACCACCCACCGCCACCCACCGCCACCCACCATCGTCTGCCCATCTGTACAAACTTTTGAAACTTCGCGGCGTGCCCGTGTTGGAATGGCCGGAGCCGGGGCCCCGGAGAAAGTTGCGAGCGAGCACGCGCCGCGATATGCTATATTAAATCCAACAGGATGTTTGTCGGCGGCGACGTTCGCGAGGCTCGTTTCGGTTTTGCTCGCGGACAACTGTTACGTGGCCGATATCTCCGATTGTATCTCGAGCAGCGAGTAACGCGGTGGTTCCCCTAATCCCCGGAGTCGTCTCGCCACGGATACCGCTTAGGCGGAAACAGACGAGTAAGACCGATACGATTTTTGCTTCTCGTGCTTTTCTAATTAGAGCAGAGCAGAAGAGACGACCTAGAAGCGTTAGGGAACATGCTGATGTACTTCCTGCGCGGCAGCCTGCCGTGGCAAGGGCTGAAAGCGGACACGCTGAAGGAAAGATATCAGAAGATCGGCGACACGAAGCGGAACACGCCGATCGAGGTTCTCTGCGATGGACACCCCGAGGAAATGGCTACGTACTTGCGGTACGTGCGTAGATTGGATTTCTTCGAGACGCCCGACTACGAGTACCTGAGGAACCTCTTCCACGATCTCTACGAGAGATGGGGTTTCGTCGATGACGGCGAGTTCGACTGGACTGGCAAGACGATGGTACGTGATCCACTGACGATCAAGTGATCCGCGTATACGTCACTTTCTCTTTTATCTCGTCGCAATGCATGCAAGAAAGGAAGACGGAATAATAGGAGAGTTGCACGATGCTCGATTATGCCCAGGGACGAAGCACGTATCGCAAGAGTCGATATCATAACCCGTCGTCGAGTTGCTTTTCTTTTTTTCCCCTCCCCCACTAATTTCTTCTATCTTTCCTACTCTCTCTTTCTCTTCGTTTGGATATTCCAACGATATCGCGGTTCACCGTCCAGACGCCATGTACGATAATTACTTCGGTTATTTCTTTGTCGGATTAAAAGTAAATTAAAGGATTTGTTTTACCGATAACCAAATGTTCTTTTGTACATACGTAGTTTTACGATGTCGGGTAGAAACTTGGAGATATCGTCTCTTCTGGGTAAGTAAGTCGCCCTGAGTATACTCCTCTCCGCGCCGCCTCGCGGTATAATCTCGGTGAAAATCATATTTTACTGATTTTTAACATTTGCATGCTGCCCCCAATGTATCTCTAGCCATCCAACTTTGCGCAGCTTAGAGCTCTGAGGATGGCTCCCCCTTCTCACGTTGGAAAGACCAAATCTGATAAGGTGGGTGATAAACGGTACGCGAGACCCGCGTTTTTCGTTACCTTCTACGCAGACACACACGTGCGTTGTTCGATGACTCGCAATCGGGATCATTCGAGAGAACACCGGCTCTCCGTTAACGAGTATACGAAAGGACGACGCTGTACCGAAATAGTATGTCAACGAAGCGAATTCCTGCTCGAAGAGAATCCTTCGTAAAGTGCATGGAGCGACGAGTTGGGAGCTTATCGACTTTTATTTCGTTGAGCGTGAAAATCTTATGCCTCCTTAGAGACGCGATATCTCGTTCTGACCGAGATTCGCATCTGCGTCCACGAGAAATACCCAACAGTTGCCTTCACCGCTTAAGCATGCGTCACTTTTTTTCTTTTCCTTTTTTTTTTTTTTTTTTTTTTTTAATTTTCTTATTTTTCTCCGACGTTTTGCGTTTAATTATCTGTAATAATTTATGCACGCAGTAACGTTCTTTCTGTTCCCGATATTTCTAGCAGCGTAACGAGTGCCCTTTTACCTTATCGCTTTCGGTAGTACCTTTGCATTTCTAAGTACACCTACGTAGAAATTCGTAGAGATGTAAGACTTTTTTACCCGTATTTCGAGTATCTTCTCTTTGGTAGTACTACTTTTACGCTTCGACCGAATGAATCGCGCCGCGCGTTTCCACCAGTTGATTAGGATACTTTCTGTTCGCAGACGATATTAATCACGATACGCCGTGTTTTTTATTTCGAATCTTCGTTTTATACTCTCCGTAACGAAGAACAGTGTACGAAATAACATTATCGCCAATTATCGTTTCGTTCCTGTCTCCAAGTATGTTATACGAAATTCATTTATCCGTAATCGCGTTTGGTAACGCGACGCCGTTACGAGTGTAATAACACTGCGCGTAATAAGAGTAAGCGAACGCGATAATTTCTAACATACCGATAGATTTCACATTTTTTCCACGCCGAACCCGCAATTACACGCTGTTAACGAATTTTTATGCACACGCTGTATCGTGGAAAATTAATATTTTTGTATACTTATCCCGCGTTTATTTCCTTTTTTTAACGAAAAAAGAGATGAAAATAAGCGCGGGACTGATAGAGAGGAAAGAAGGATAATTTATTTATTAAGATTTTTATATAGTACGTTCTAATAAATTCTTAACGCGTTGACTGCCATGGTGGTCATATCAGTGACCTGTGCTGGTCTCCTCAGTGGGGCCATGGTGGTTACCAATGTCCGACGATACTAATTTTTTTAATTTATATTTGTTTTATTTCAACCAATTTTTGGATATTTGAACGACGTAAAGAAATAGAGAACATTAACCCTTTGCACTCGAGAGGTGACCGTCAAGATAAAATTTCGAAGATCGATATTAATTAATATGTCAAATTTAAGATAATGCAACGGTGTGCGAGCTATCGAAATCAAATAATTCTACGTGTTAGATTATTATACGATTTCTTATTTATTACCGAAAGAAATATCGCCAGCTTTATAGCAGAAAATCTTTGACCTCCTACTCATCTTTAGCCAAAAGATCGTCGAGTTAGCAAAGGGTTAGTAATTTGTACCTTTGTCATATTGTTTGATAATTCGTCGTATTCGTCGTTATATTCTAAGAATAATGGAAATTTTATCGTGGCCCCCTGAATGTATAATACTATATAAAACGTGCATGGCAGTCAAAGTGTTAACTAACGTTCTGTCGGTGTGGTTATTTAAGTATTTCCGGATAATATAAATAAATATTAACTTTGTCGCGTAAGATTACATTTATCTTGTACGTAATCGTTTCACATTTTTGTTACAACACCGTTTACCTATTTCCGTTACATACTGTACTTGTGTTTCGTTTTCAGTCTACGCCCGTTGGATCCTTGCAGACTGGACAAGAGATCGTTGTATCTCCGAATCGTGATCGACACCCGTATAAGGTGCGTGCACACTTTCATACCGATCTTCTACTTTTCTTTTTCTTTTTTACGAGAAGACGAGCATGGTTGTGTGAGGCTTAGCTATTTCAAATAACAGCATGAGTATACACCTGATCGGTAACGGAATAGCATTTTTTTTTTTTCTCGAATAACTTTCACGAAAGCTGTTTGCAATCGAGTTGTCGGGACAACGAAAAGCGAGGAGAAGTTAGGGCATTTGTCGGAAACGTTCGAAGCATACGATGTTCGTGTGTCACTTTTCCCTGAGAATAATGAAATTGGATTTTGTCTGATTGCGAAACACGGAAATCGTCGACGCATAGGAATGCGATGATTTCGAGGAAGATGTAGTCCTCACGTTGGATGAGGTTCACATCGAAATGCAAGGCAACTACGTAAGCCACCAAAATTTTCTAACGATCTGGCCTTCTTCGTGCATGTTCTATCTTATCGTAGATATTCGGGATAAGAGCGCATACATTGGTTATCGTGCAGATAAGCCGACGTGTCTTTTCTATTTTTCGAAATATTCTCGTGTCGTAGATAAACGCGATTTTATTTCTATACTTGGACGATGACTCTCACGATGAAGTGTAGAAAATGGAGGAGACATGCGTGAAGAAGCGAGATCGAGCGCAGTCGTATCTGAAATCCCCCGTTGGCGATCCAGCTAGCGCTGTTTCTATCGTTCACGACAAATTAATATAATGTAGCTAGTTACGTAGATCACGAGCATCACGAGTAAATTAAAGATCGCTCGATGTTATTCGGAGTATCTGTTGTTACATATCACGCATCGTACACTGCAATGTCAGACGATCGAGAAAGTTATAATACCATGCTAAGCAGACGACGACTAAGAATTATCTCAAATCTCATTCACGATCTTTAGGTAGTAGATTCGAGTGCCGTAGCATTTTTTAATCTTTTTGTTTTTTTCATTGCCGTTGAAAAGTGGTCTTTAGTGCTTGTTCCTTTAGGATGTGACAGATCCAGGGGTGGGAGGCGGGGGCGGTAAATGGGTGGGAACCTCGAGGACAGATACTGCGAAGCAATCAGGAGCTGGTGGTACATTGACACCCGCTGATAGGCATGGTTCTGTACAGGTGAGTGCACCTTGCGAATCCTTTCTGCAATCCATTGTGTCCGTCTGTTTCACTGATCTATCCAAACACTTTCCGCCATATTTTTTTTTATTTTCCCTCTTTTGTTCGTTCGCTTCCGATTGGTTTCTTTCCATTTCGTTGATAAACACCGGGTGACATTACTCTGTTATATCGGACGTGATACCTTGTCCATTTGCTCGAGGTTTCAACGAAAGGAACGAGTAACTTGATCTCGTGACGGTTGTAAAAGCGTGTGATAAATAAAGAATTAGAATTATGGTGGTAATTTGGTTAATCTCGCGAGACGGAGACAACGAAGCCCTGTTACCCATTTATACCACGTGTTTCCCACTTTCTTAGCCCACGAAGGTGACGTGCAGACGCGTCCACGAAGTAAATCGTTCGCTCTATTTCTAGACAAAGCAACGACGGATTATGGTTAGTTAGAAATCTATGCAAATTGGTTTGTTGCCGCATGCGGACGTTTGTTTCGTTGATCGATTCACCTCTGAGTCAGTTGTTACTTCACTAATCCAGTTTATTTCTTTTCCCTAACTCTCTCTTCTGCTCCTTTTTTTTTCTCTCTCTCTCTCTGTATTATTTTTCTATGTTTTCCTTTATTTTTCTAATTTTTTCTTCTTTTTTCTTTTTTTTTCTTTTTTTTTTCTTTTTTCCCCTCCTTCGTTTGTCAAAGTTCTAGAAGATAACTCGCGAGTCGATTCTCGGAAGAGTAACTTGTTAATCGGGTTGATTAGTCGTATCACGTTTTTAGAATCTCATCTCGTTTGTATTAACAATGCCTTTCGTGTATGAAGCGCCGCTTGCCTCACGTAAATTATGGGTTTAGTCTTTCGATGTAGAGGTTTACACACGTGTACATATACAGATGTATTAATCACGTATTTTGTGTCATTAGTTTTTCGTATGTTAACGATCTCGAATTCATGGTATAGATCGTAAAAGTTCACTTTTCGAATTCCACTCGGGGATATATTACAGCTTTTCCTTATCTAATATTCTTTCATCCTTGCGTACTTGAGATCTTGCGGATAATAACGTGTTGTGTATTTAGGTGGTGTCCTCGACGAACGGGGAACTAGCCAATGATGATCCTACAGCAGGACACTCTAATACGCCAATCACTGCGCCTCAAGAAGTGGACATGGTCGACGAAACCAAGTTAGTATTGCGATTGTTTTATATTTTCTCTCTCGTGTGTACAGTAGATTACAAACTCTCTTTGATAATCGAGAGATAAGCTGCGATCGAAGCAATAACACTTGTACAACTAGTGCATGCATACGTGACGTATTAGAGGTTTAGGCCGTGAAAGGAAACACGAGCTATCGTTAATCCGAGTTCACTAACGCTTTAGAGGATTAATAGCAGAGTCGCATCCTTGTTTCGTTGTATGATTTTAATCTTGGCACATACCTCGTAACTTCTGCATGATACATGTTAAATGTCCTGTCTGTCCTATTTCAGAAAGAAATGTTTGCCGGGAAAAAAGCGTTGTCGTGGATGCGGAAAGATCCTACATCGAGGTTCATACCCTCCTACGTCCACTGCTGATCCTAGACCGATTCCTGAACTTGGTTTAATATCCCAGTACAACTGGCCGTTAAAGAATTTTCTTTTGTTCAACATAAAGGCAAAATATGATATTAGTTAATTATCGTTATTCGTCTTAGTTCCCTTGGTTCGATGGAAATATTCTTTTCTTTGCTATCTCGATGTTCCTCGTGTTTTGTTTGGATTGTACGTAATGTAAAAGTCAGGAACGTCGATGATGCGCCATTTGGAATTTAAAGAAGCTATGTATAACACGAAGCGATGTCTTAATCCTAGTAGGACCGTCGTTGTCGTCCCTTGTGTTCCTTTATGTCCATTTATGTTCCTTTGTGTACCTTTATGTTTGTTTTATTTGACAAGTGACTCACGCGTGGACCGTTCGTCTGGGACGATATTCTAGCCACTAGCAAATTGGTTTGAAAATACAAGCTCGGTTTGTCGCCGCTTTGGAATGCCTTGTCGTGTTGCATGTTGGTGTCATAGCGTAAAGCGATCAAAAGAAGACGACTCTAAGTCCTATTAGTGTTTGGTTTATTTGCAGATGCTGTTGTTTCTTCAAGCGGAAGAAGAAGAAAAGTGGAAGACAAAAGTGACTGTCTGTTATCTTCAATCTTGGGGGGGACAATACAGTGCGCGTGTAACAGAAGTGCAGATGAAGTTTTTGGGGAACGTGTTGCGGCAGTGCGCGAAGGGACCGTGGACAAGAAAAGCTGCAGCCGATCCGGAAAGGGGGAGGCCGTTACCTTGCTACGTGCCGGAAGTCGATCCGCTTCTCAAGATTCGGTGCTGCACACCATCATCGTCACGATGACACGCCGCCGTCGTTATCAAATTAAACCACCACACAGCCATCATTATTACTGCTACTATTATTACTATTATTATCATTATTATTACCAGGATTAACTTTGCTCTTCTTCTTTTTTCTTCTTACGATTATTATTACGATTACTATTAATATTATATTATTATTATATTATTTTATTATTTTAATATTATTATCGTTTACGATTATCATTGTCATTTCGTGTACGATCGCCGTTTAAATGAAGCAACATCGTTTGTCAATGTCGATGTTACCGAATACATTGTAAACTTGTCACTGCTGACTGAGAATAGTCGAGCCGTCGGTCCCGACCGTTCAGTACTGGTAAATCGGTCCACCTACGTACCATACACGTATAACAGTAAGGAATTGACGTGCCGATGGTGAAAGAACGTGTTTGTGCCTACGACTCTCTCATCTTGTACCGCGGTGGCGCACTTTTCAACATGCCGTCATTGCGAAATGTCTTACGATACGTGTATTAAATCGTAAAAGAATTGAAGCTGAGATCTCATTTTACTCAAAGTCCCGGATAACGAGCGTAGCGTACTCCTGCTTGTATCGAGGTTTATAAACAAACACTTGTGAAGTCTGATCGACTGGAAAGGCATGAAACTGAAAGGGTAAACACGTTGGTGTATGCTTAACTCCGATCAGTTCCAAGCGCGTTCAGTAGGGCGGCGTTCTTCGAGTTTGTGATCGAGTAAGTTAGCTTTTCCTCGTTTTCCTTTTAACCACGAGAAACAAACGATCCAGACGAATCGAAATTCACGTAATTCATACGCGTATCCTCCCCCCCCCCCCCCCCAATCTTCTTCGTCGTCGTTTAGTATCCGAGACATCTGTGTGTTTTGTTCTTCTTCTTCTCCTTTTTCCCTTCCTTTTTCTTTCTTCTTTTTCTTTCTTTCGCTGTCGTTAAGTCTTTAACGAATATTTTCCTCCTTAGTGGAAGATTATCCTTTTAAGTTCATCCTGTACGATACACGAAAGTATAACAGTATTAACGCTATCTGTAGGTAGCACTAGAGTCATGCTAAATTGCATTCACCGTATTTTAGTTAACAATTTTTAACTAATTTTATTTTACGCCTACACTGCCTGTCGTTGTTCTATACGAGTACACGATTATACATGAAACCATTACACACTGACTGTACATAAAATATATCGAAAACTATTTTGCTACGAAGCTGCACATACTTTGTATCCACTGTTTCAGTTAATCGCATATCATTTAACGAGCTTCGTAAAACCTCGAAATGGTTGTTCAAATTATTAATATATATATATATATATATATACGTATATATATATTCTGGAATGAAGGAATATAAGTGATCGTAATTTTAAGCGATTCGATTTCGGTTTCATGCCTTCCATGAATTTATCACTGTAAAAGCTATACGTTGCAGAAATCATTCGAATTACATTTTACATAACATATCGAAACAAAGACAAAAGAAATTAAAAATTTTCATTCGTAGATTCCAATGTCTGCCGTGAAAATGGAATAGGACGTAGATCAACAAATTATACATATGTATTCGATACAATTGATCCGTGTTCTAACGAAACACGAAGATTCGGGAGACTTTCTTGAATCGTATCTTATCGTCTATGAAAAGACCCGTTCATTTCGGAGAAACTTTTTTATTCGTGAAACAAAGCGTGTTAAAAGAAGATAATTATTAGAAGTGTAACAAAAAAAGAGAACCAAAGTATGCTTGTAATTGAATATACATCAATATAGGTTTGATTTTAAAGCAATAAAAAAGAAAAAAAAAAAAGAATCTTTTACCTTCTCTGTTTAACTTTATGAAACAGAATTTCCTTGGAACGAATCGTTGTTTGCTAGATCGTGGTAAACGATATTGGATTTGAGACAAAATGAATTAATAAGAAGGCAAGGAATGTAAAACTGTACGTGACATAGTTATACAATAATGTACACTTACTTTTGCGAAGAACTTTGTCAAGGGCTTATTTAATATGTTTGTTCCACGAAGTTACGAGAAGAAGAACGTTGAGACGTGACATATTCGAATCTCCGTGGATTTTCTGAAAATGCAACCAAGCAGTGAAGAGATACTTAACGTGAAAACACGCGCAAAAGTGAAGGAGAAAAAAATCTTGTCAGCCCTGCCGATTAAACGTGTAAATGAGAATGTTCGACGATGTTTTGTTACAAATTTGCAACATCGTTTAGTTCGTTGTCGAAGGAAATTAGATATGTTAGGTAAACTTGTTCGTTCTGCTCGAGTAAATCTTTGTTACAAATCGATAAATTGTGTATTGTTCGTTTTATTCACAGACTGATGTATAATAAAAGGATTGAAGTACATCTTAATCTCGAGTCTTTTATATCTCAAAATTAAACAGAGTTTCCTAACGGTACATATTATAGAATACGAGCTGTAGATATTAGGACAACGATTTCCTTGGGAACTTTCAAGTTTTCAAGAAACACGATTCCTTTGCTAACTGTTTACATCGAAAGTAAAATTATACAAAAAGCGGTAAAGCGATAGATTTTCTAAAAAGAATGTTCTTATCTCCAAATACTACTAGTAACATTGTACTATTCATAGATATACCAAAAGGTTACTATTTGAAAGTAAACACATGTATCACCATAAGTATAGAAGTAGAGTCAGAAGTAAATATACCATTTAACCGATAAAGGCAATAACGATAATGGGAAAAAGAACTGTTGCGGTAATAAGATAAGACAGCTTAGTCCTTCTTTCTCTCATTTTTTCGTTTAGAATAAAATTTTAATTCTTCGAAAAGAGCTAGGCGTGTATGCGTATGAATTTGTAACAAAACCCGAGCGACTAAAATGCAATTAGAAAGTCTGTTTAATCGGCTAGCCAGCATAGATATTTTTCTTCTTACTGGAGTATATTAAGAAACGATGTAATCGATTGTTACTCGTCTGCGCGTGAAGACGGCGAGTACTAACTTTATCGTGTTCGAAGGTCCGAACTTCTACTAGTCTGGCCAACGATTGCGTACCACTGCCGAGCCATACCGATGTACCGTGTTATCGTACTTTGAGTGTCCGTACACGTATCCGATATTCAATGGCCAAGCACATCCGACGACGAAACGTTCGATGTACTTAGAGCGAGAGAGCAAACAAAATAAAACACGAGAGAACGTATCACGATTTATGTAAAAAGAAAAAAGAAAGAAAAAAAAAAGGAACAAAATGGCAAAGCGTTATTTCGCTTAGCTTCTTCTCACCTGTATGTATCACGCTGTTATTGGCCGTCGGATGTCTTGAAGTAATACGCTTAAATGGAGATGAGAACTAAACCCATTAACTTTGTGGATTTCCTCTCTCGTTATTATCTGTATCTTCCCACTGGATATGCACCGAAAGTATTGTTCCTTTTATAAGCTTGCTATGACGCAAGTAAACGTTGAACAACTAGACGTTACATTTGTACACAGTGGCGAGAAAGAGTGCGAATGGAAAGAAGTAAAGAATGAAAGAAAGGAAATGATCGCGGAATGTGCGATCGAGAGAAAGTAAAAGAAAAAGGAATCGAATGACAGAGTGAAAGAGGTACCAGAGCGATGAAAGTATAGAAGCGAGAAAATGGACTCCGTTGTCCTCTGGTGTGTATGCTTTCACGTGGAAAGAGAACGAATCTTCGTGTTATTCCAATGCTTAAGGAGCTAATGTCTCTCACGTTTACTTACTTTTTGTCGACGGTATCGTTTGTAAGCATGATCTCTTGATGGAACATATATGACACGAACATACACATACAAACAAATGCACAGACACACACCAAATTTCGCGATTAGGGTATATATTAGTGATAAATTCAAAAATCGAGGAACGGTATCTCCACGAATGGAGACAAGGGGGAGCATACGTAAAAAGTGAAAGTGATACGTACGAAAGGGGGAGAGAGAAAGAGAGAGAGAGAAAGGAAAATGCGCGAGTGAATCTTGGTGAAAGAGAGCCTCCGTATTTACAGTACTGCAGCGTTACCTGACCGGGGTTTTGCCTTATTAGCTGACCGTTGCTGTCCCGACACTGAACATGTTTGTTTGAACAAACTCCTGACATCAGGAATTTGATATTTAGGATCACGTATCGGTATTTCACGCGTATTCGTCGAAAAGGAGAAATACTCGGGATGTTTTTTAGAATTCTACCTCCCTTGATAACGGACCAAATGTGGTTAACGAACCATGGTCAGCTAATGCGGCAATATTGTATATCGCTATTCTGCCACATATCGTTGGCGCAATTATGCTACAACTATGTTGCAATTTAGTTTGTAGTTCTTTTTTTAGTCGATTTTTCATGCGTCACCAGTTTTTAAATACAACACGACTGACTGCTGGTTAAGTATGGTTGTGAACGAACAAGAAAATGTTTCTCTATCCTATTCAGGATATATATGTCACCTTTTCTTGATGATCTTATTTTCCTTATTCGTTCTTGTACTTCATATAGAAAGGTTGTTGCGCTCAGTCCAATGACGAACTCAATCGCCCATTATTAGTGATAAAACAATGATTGAGTTTGAAAGCGATTATTTGTATATTTGTAAATTGGTGCGAATAGATCGGACCAAGGTCAATGTATGTACGTATGCGTCTTTCATTTCCTCGCTTTTAATGATTCGCAATAATACGCGAGGTCTTATTTGTTTTTAAATTAGAAAAACGACGCGTGTTCATGTCGTAACACGGCTTGAAGCGATTGCAAAGCAATGCGTAGAAGATTATGTGCGTTCGTTGTGTTTCTTTTTTCAATTGTTTGTTTTGTAGCCTTTACAAAGCGGAATTTATTATCATTAATCATATTTTAAAAAATTTTTTCGATATCTTTTTTTCTTTTGTATCTATAATCCTTCCTTCTTAAGTATTTCTTTAGTCATGACTATTCTTTATGTGCATTATTCTATGCATGGAATTGGGTTTCCTTTCTTCGATTGTTCCATTATATTCCCAATTCACTTTCATCGTAAAGCAAGATAAACATTATCAGTTTCTGATCTGTTTCTTAAATGTCTGCTTTGAAATGTTGGCAACATTTATTAAAAACTCATTCAGTTATGTATATTAACAATTGTATCGCGCTTTTGTAGTGAATTCTTTGCGCGATACATTTTACTCTGCGAACGTGATTTAGATAATATGCGTTTTAATTATTATTCGTTTTTCTAGCATGTATTTGTTGCTAAAGCATTCTTGTGTAGCTTGTGTTCAATGATCATTTGCCATTTATATGGAATTGGCAGCTCATGTGCATTATGATAGTATGCCCATGTAACGAGTGTGATTGATGATGTTATAGAAATTTTGAGATGTTTATCGATATGGTGAGGAGACGTTATGCTATGAGAAAGATGTCGGGCATCGATTAATTTTTGTAAATAAAAATTATTGGAATGAATATAGAAGTACGCACACAGAAAGACGAGAAGTAAAAATATGTGAAATGTCGGATGTCGGGAGATGTATCAGCTTCAAATTATATATACATATACATATATGCATAAACAATATCAATAATGGCAATTAATAAGCTGTATTGTTACTACAGTAATTACCACTGTCTCGCAACGGCAGCGATCGACTAATTTTATTACCACGTAATCTTAATAATGCCAGTGAGAAGTGGATTGTGTTCTTTGTGACGAAATCGGACGAAGAAGCATGAAATCGCTAATGAATTATTCCATTCGCTAATTTATAGAGACAATTTAAAAGTATCGAAGATGCTTCGAAATATTTTGTCCATTTCGTATATGTCTACAAACACAAAGACAAAAATGTCTGAAGTTTTTGAGCGAAGATATTCTATTATTAATGGAACAACATTGTTCAATTTTAACGTGCTTTTGTTATTATATTAGTGGATTCGTTTTCTTTCCACTTATGAAACTAATAATCTATTAAAGATACAAAAGAAGATTAATGTACATAGAAATTAAATTGTTTGAGTACTATTCCGATGGATTCTGTGTTTACGCCAGTTAGCGTAAGAATACGAAGGGTGGAGAGCGGTTTACATCCTAATGGTGAAAAACACGAGACTGAAAGACACACCGGACCATAAAAATTTAACGCGTTATATTCACGTAATACAAATGACGTAATGCAACTTACGAAATGAAATCATGTTTTCATTAGTTTTGTCAACAAATGTGCACCTCTCTCCCCTACATAATACATTTCTATCGTACTTGTAAGCTGTGATTGAAATCCTATCTTTCAATTCGTAATCACTGGCTTACGAATTGTTATTTATCGATTAATATATATAAAACCGTCTGATAATACCGCTTTAATAGAATTTGAAAAAGACATTGAAAATGCGCAAAAATGTTTTCCTGTAAATAAGCGTTGTGCCTGCGCACTTAATCAAACTAAAGAAAATTCTTATTGAATTTCTTGTACGTTTTCTTTTTGACTTTATGCAATTTGACTACTTGACTATACGTTTCGAGCTTGTTTTATCCTCTTTTTCAACATATATTGTAGAAAGAGAAATTGTTTCCAAAGCTTCAAGTTATATTAATATGCGGTAAATAGAGAAAATACAAAAGATCTAATTTTTAAGTTTTTTATTTTGTTTTATCTCTTTTCATATACATTTTTTCCATAGAAAAAAGATAATGATACGTGATGTGTTTTAAAATTCTTTTCTTCATTTTCTTTTACAATGTTTTTAGTTTTTATAGACAAGAAGTAAAATGAAATTTTTACAATAAGTTATTAAAAAGAAAAAAAAAAGGAAATTTCTGGTTGTTTCGTATAAAATTATGTTTTACAAATCTGTATCCAATGGCGCTTACTGAATTTTGTTTAAAAAAATGCGTTTAAAAAATTCCGCAGTATATTTTATTTGAGATTTATCTAAAAATTGTTGAATTAAAAATATGGTATAATTTGAAGTACAAAGATAATAAATAACACAGAATGTTATTTAAATTTCATTTGTATATATATTTTGCTGCTTTTACTTTATTTATCTTCTGCCATACTTTTAGATATTTTTAAAATTGTTTCAATACTAATTAATTCTCTATGTTCCTCCAACATTTCTATAAATAATGGATTCTTTAATAACATATTATGCGAAGCAGCAATAAAGTCTACAATTAGTCTTTTCGATAGATTGATATTTTCTAAAGTTTTATATGTTTTCTCTTTATACCTAAAAAAAAGTTCAGTAAAATGTGAGTTATAAGTCTCATATATATATTATCATAAATTGCGTGTATACTTACTGTGCCATCTGAGGATTTGTTTCCTCCAATATTTTGTTACGTAACTTTTCCTGTTCGTTTAAAAAATTTTTGTAATCATATATTGCATTTTGACATTGAATTTTTAGTTCCAATTGTTTTTTTAGTGCTTCTTCTATTTCATTTTGTATCGATAAAACACAGTCATTGAAACAAAAAAGTTTACGCATACATGCATAAATTTTTCTAAAAAGGTATCAAAACTATTAGATATTTTTCCTTTTAAGATTCCATAGCTTAAACTGTTTAATGCTTCATACTTTTGCATATTGTGATCACCTTCTTTGCCTGTTAGAATAGCGTGAATGCTATCAGAATGAAGACATAGTTTAATTGCCTCATTGGTTAGAAGAGTATTTGCAGTTGCTTCATTTAACTTTGTTACAATTATTCTTACATCTTCTTCTAGTTCCTCTGAATTATTAGTTACTTCTGAAATCATGTTAAAAAATCATGTTTATATCAATGAAGCTTTTGTTTTAAAGATAACAGGTTTATTGACATACGGTAATTATGATGTGCTTTAAGTGTCAATAACTTGGAATTCAGTCGTTTTAACGATTCTCGTTTAGATTTAATTTTTTCTTCTATTGGTTTAAAATCATCTATTGAAATTGCTCCCACCGGAAAACTGTAGGTACTGTTTTTCAAACATTCCACAGCATCTTTCAAAGTTTCTAATTCCATCATTTTGCGTCTGTATATATTACTACATTACTATAAAATAGTTAAAATCAACTGGGATTTATAACTTTTATAACACTGACATTGTTTTGTAATTCAAAGTTATTTACAGCTATTGCTAAATTCATTTTGCACTACACACACTTATTAACTTTGCATATAATTTCCATTCATTTTTTTTAAATGTAAATAAACGACACGAACTAATATTAAGTTTTCTTTGAATATCTATTTTCTCTTTCAATTTTAAGCGACAAAATGTCACGATAAAGGTTATAATCAAAACTTTGTTTGGAGTAGTAGTTACAAGTAATTTCAAAAAGTTCCTAGATATACGTTATTGGTGGGTCTTATAGTAAATTTATAGTAGGTTAACGTACCTAAGTTGCTACATCTAGTAACAAAATATTTCTACGTTATCATTGGTTAATATATGACAGAACGTCGTGATGAAATATATGATCTAGTAATTTTTTTGTAACTAATAAGTTTACTAGATTAAATCAATCATAAATGCGTAGTTTGTTAGAGTCTGTAATTGGTGAAATACACATTTATCGGTTCAGCGCGGATTTGTAATACTGAAAAAAGAAGGTATTTTGTTCCTATCATAGATATTTTGTTAAAATTATGTATGTTTAATGTAAATACAAATGTATTATATTTAGATTAAAGATACAATCGATTGATTAATATATTAGACGAGATCACGTAAGGAATATAAAAGTATTTAGACGTGCAATCTGGATATAATTCAACATTAATTTAATGGAAATGTAAAGGAAAGAGATTTTAAAGATTTGACGTATTTCTTAATATTAATTTTTATTTGATTTATTTTTATCTTCACATCGTTTAATTTCTTTAACATATGAAAAATACATTCAATTCTTTTTTAAAGTGCTTCATACTCTTTTATCTTTGTATTTAAAGATGTTGCTTATTTTCTATAAATATATTTCACATCTACATGTACATTATTGTAAACATTTGTGAACATTATGGTAGTTATAGATTTCCCTATTATATGCTGCAGATCATATTTTCGAACTGTGCGTAGACGATAAGTAGTATGGCATTCACACAATAGAGAGCGCCTCAAATTATTTTGAAGTTCGTTTATTCTCCTAGTTGTATCGTGAAATATGCGTATTAAAGTCTATCGAAGTAAGAAGTGTAGTACAAGATTATTGGTACGTGGACAAATAAATTTTATTTTCACGGGTCACGGAAGAAGAGCTTCGAAAAGAGTTTGGTTTTCTTTACTTTGGTTAAAAAGTATGTATATCATGTATATCTGTATATAGTGAGAAAGATTTATTGAGACTAATAAACTGTCACAGCAAATAATGTAAAAATGTCGTATAAAAATCATAACATATCTGTACTACGTGGTTATGTATCGTATGTATTGCATTTAAGGACAGATTTAAGCATCATGAAATTCGAATCTTCTATTACAGTTCAAAAATAATTGTTATGGCGATCTCGGTAACGTAACATTTATGATTTTGAGATATACTCAATTAATTGTTACTAATTATGACACAGTGATAGGAAATTGACGCAAAAAAAGAAAAGAATGTAGGAAATTGGAAAAAGGAAGTGAAAACTACATAAATGCGAATAATTTCGAAAGATTCGAGTACCGGAACACAGTGACATCTATTGTCCTTATATTTTTCAGACACCTCGCTTCACGAGGGCCCTTCACTCGTTTCAAGGAATAACGTTTTCTTGAATTTACTCTTTCTCCAACTTACGTTTCCTCCTATTTTCGTTTTTCCCAGCGTTACATGCACCGGTACTGTAGACCAAAACAAAACGTCCCGCCATCGAAGAAATGCTAAGGATCGAGGAAATTATGAACACTTATCTACATGTGTATTCTATCAGTGTGATACTAGCAAGTAAGGTAATTGAAAAGTTTAAGTGTTTTATTACTGCGTAAGCCACTTTTCGTATATAATTGGGCAATATATATTTTTTGGTGAAAATGCCAGGGTTTCGTTTTTAAAACATCGTTTCGTATCGTAGTAATGCTAATGTAATCGCTCTATAGATTTTCACGAAAACGATCGGAGATGCGTGTACTACTTGCTTCTACAATAACCTCATCGATGAAAGCGGAAGTTCGTCTTAACTTCCGTCCACCACGAAACTGAATCCTTTGAATTGATTCAAAAGCTCGATTAGCACTTTGATTGCTGTTGGCGAACATGTGTGTATCTCGCGATATACAAGATACGAGACCCTTTCGCCATTCAAAACACGCGTGTACATATCTATTCAGCAAATTGCTTTCGTTACGAATCGATGGTACCTCGGTATCGGCTCGATTCAAACTGGGGATGTCGGCCAGTTATGCCTTTATACAGTATTTGACCACGTGATTCTGAAAGTTTCTCACGTTTTCCATGTTTTCCACGTACCAGAGTCATTATATTTTGCTCAAGAGCATGTTTTGTTTCTTATCATGCAACATATTCAATATATGGTCGACATATTCGATATATATCAAAATATTAAGCGAATTTTAAACGATTAAGTGCTTTACGAGTAATTTTAAATTTCATTTCGATGTAACTTTGAGTTATCTCGAATGAACTTAATGTAACCTTGAACGATTTCGACGAGACGAATTACTCTAACGAATGATCTCGATGCGACGTTGAATGATCTTAATGCGATCTCGAATAATGATTGACCGAAATAAATGTTTAAAATTCGTTATTTTATAAATGTTACTGCCATGTTTGAACTATCATCAGAACAAGGGCCAGAGTTTATATGTATTTCTTAAGGAGTTGTGATAACATTAATCGAAATGTATCTCCATCTTAATGTTCGCATAATATATTTTGACTGATCTGTATCGGATATCGGGCGATTATTAAATTGCATAAGATTATATCATTATTCGATGAAATTCGCGTTAAAGTGTTTATCGAGCGATTATTGCGAAAGATACATGTATTTTGATGTGTCATATATGTAATTACTATATGAAAGAAGAATAAACGTAACATCAAATTATCACTGTTTTTAGCGTGTCGTTGAAAATAAAATATCTTCACGAACTGGCCTAATGGATTAGAAAAAACAACGAAAGAAAATCCCAGGACGAAACGTCTAATTTCCAAAGCGAGCATTCAGGATTAAATCGATATCTGCAGGTACACGATTTATTTTCTCGTTTATTCGATCTAACGAATAATCGTCGAATCAGACATTTAATTACACAAAGCTCGAAGAATTCCATCAATCGTACCATTATTTGTATCGATCACGGGAATATGATCGCGCTTTATTTATCCATTCTTCACCGCTTTAATTTAGAGAAATCGCCAGCAACGAGGAAGCGATATATCACTGGACGGATCGATTAATCACTTCCGTGCTTTGACATTAATTTACCGCAAAACGTTGGCTCACGAGCCTGCCTGCACCTCTTCTCGGCCCAGAGACGTTGGCGGTTACGTGCGCCACTCCTTCCTGATCACTCGCAACAAATAATGGAGGAAACAAGGTGATCGTGGTACGGGGGTAGCCGCAAATGATCCTTGGATATGTGTGTTCTTGTTGCGCGTGCAGTTCCAAACAATTTGCATGGCTGGCCGCGCCTCAAGCCCGAGCCAATGGATTTCGTTTCGACAAAAAGCTGCTCGACGTATCAGTTTCCAATAAAAACCGCTTGCCAATCTATTCGTATAATAGTGGCTGCTGTTGTTTTGTGAATCGGACGATAGCTTTTGAAATTGTTTGCGAGATGTTCTCGGTGTTTCTTCCTTCTTGTGAAAAGGTGTTCTATAATATGCTCGGTATCCCGAGAACCGAAAGGAGGAGAAAGTCTTTTATCGTTGCTCCTTTGGCTACCCCACTCAGGCTTGCTTAAATAACTCGATTAAAAGTTTGGACGATCTATTTAGATGCATATTATCCATACTCGCAGTACGTTGCGTATTCTTCTTGCTCGCTAGGTTGCGTTCATGCGAATAAAAATAAGTTTTCTGATTTCTCACTTATTCCATCTCCTTGGCCCAGGATCCAATTGCGATGACCTGATAACCCGAAAGTTTGCGAGGCAACATCAAAAGTCAAGTGATGGTAACTTAATCACGTAGCTTGGAAGCCGCAAACACTGAAGGATTTACGGAAGCGGAACGTTGGAAAGAGGAGTTAATCTGTCGCGTATGCTATGGCTATTTAATCGTACCACTGTATCAAGTCAGGTTAGTCAACGTGCACAGGATTTACCGGGTTGCTTTTTATGGAAGATTGCTTTTAGAAAAAAATCTACTTACCAGCTGGAAGATGGATATTTTGGTTATTTTGTAAATAATGAAACAGTGTATGTTACAATTATAGTGTAGGGCAATAAACGTAGCCTAGGGATCTATCTTATAATAACTTGAAGCTAAGGTGCACGATGTCCAACGATAACTAATGACTAAAATTCTCGAAGAGAACTTTGGAACCAAATTGAAATAAACGAGAAAGGAATGAATTTATGAAGTAAAGAACGAAGCAGAATTCGAAACGAATGCGAAACGAAAGTGAAACAAAGACGAATTGCGAAACGTATAGAATCGGAAAAAAAGACTGAGAAAAGAGAAATAAAATTACAAAAAGTAGAACAAAGTGATATAGAATCGAAGCCAAACACAATGGATCAACGATGGAAAGGAAATAAAAAAGGAACAAAGAGTTAAATGAAATTTAAATTAATAAGGAATTAATATTTAAATTATATATTTATCCGAAGGTTATTAAATTATTTAATTATTAATGAACAATTAAACGAATTGATTAAAGCAATCATTTAATATATTATTTAATAATGCAGGAATAACTAAAAAATTGATTTCAAATGACGAAATAATTATTATTTTATTAAATTTAATTTTTAGTCATTCGAGTTGAGGGAGTGTGAATTGAATGGACAAGGGCTATCAGCTAGCACTCTTGGCTAGCTGATAGCCATTGTCCACCCTATTCATAACTCGAACCTACCCTGGTTAAAATCTCGAACTGTTCGATCTGGGGCCAAATTGGCAAATGAGCTCGAACTGCAATGTCTTGCTCTTTATATAGCCGACCGTTGTTTGCCGAAAATCGAACGAAAAATTACGATCGTTCCCGATTCAATTGTTAATTATCTTTCTAATAGAATAACCAATGATTTGTTAATTTTTCAATTTTTACTATAATTTTAAACTCTCAGCAATTTTATATCATTAATACTAATCTTTCACTCTTGCATCTCTTTCAGGATGATAATTCTGGATTCTTTTCTGCATCTGATATTCAAGATTAATATAACATACATCTGAACAACGAGGATCGTCAGTGACAAACATGCACGTTATCAGTGGAAATTGATTCATCGCTCAATATGCAATTTTCTCAGCAATTTTGCAAAACCGGTACGAATATCAGTTTAATGAACCGAAATAGAACCGATATAAGAATATACGTATACGTATACGTACATGTAGCACATAGAACCGCAACCGTTAGCAATACAGAAGCGATAAAGAACCGATATTTCAAAAGCTACTGAAACCGTAACCGAAATCGATATCTCCGCAGATTTTAGTTCTTTATAACCGTTATAGAAAATAACGGTTCTTTGAAAATGTTTCGACAAACCGGTAGCGATATTATAACACTTTTCAACCCTCGAATTTTCGGCGATAGCTATAAATTTCTCTCGGTCTCTGAACTACTGTTTTTTTTTCTCTTTTTAGGTGGTGCACTTTCATTCTGTGATGGATTGCGATAGATTTTAAACATCTTTTAATAAAGGAAAAACAACGAGCGCACTACATCGTAACCGACTGTTTGGACACGGTAGTTATCGTGGAATTGTTTTTTATCGATTCCGTTCTTCACTTTATCAAATTTTCACCCTCCTCGTTGTTTCGCTACCGATATTACCGCTGCAAGACCACGCGTGTTTTTAATCGTTAAACACGTTAAATCGTGCATGACCTTTCACTCGTTATTTCAAACGTTTGGTCTGCAGATAAAGCTGCTTTTTCCGTTTCCTCTTGTTGCTTCGCTCGCGCACGAGGATACGCGGGGCTTTTACGAAAAATTGGAAACGCGCATCCAACGTGTCCAACGCAGACGAGGAGGTTCGAAGGAACAGAAGGTGGAGGCAAACGATCGAAAGCAGCGGATCGCACGCAGCATCGCTATTTAATTTGCGCCTATGGCTGCGCCAACAGGGCGTGGGACAACAGTACCCATCGCTCTTTGATGCTAGGCGAGGTCACTTGTTGTCGATTATCGAGCTCACCTTCGCCTCTGACATTTGAAAAGCCGGCTGAAATCCTGGAAAATAATTCACGCCGTAAAATCAAATTCCCATCTCGATTTAATGCTCGTGTGTGTGCGTATGTGTATTGTCGAATCAGCTGTCGACGAGGATGTACATACCAGACGCAACGATTATCGATACAGTATTAATATTTCGCGATTATATCGTGCCGGAATTAATAAGAACTGTTTATACAATGTCGAACGGAATGTATTTTAATTAAAGAGGAAAATCATTATTCGGTTCAACGTCCGCCAACAGATTGAACCTTTCATGAGAAATTGTGCGGCATCTTCATCCCGTTAGACAATTTACGATTTCAAAGGCTCTGTAAACGAGGATATGTCACTTAACTCCTTCGGTTACTCTGCTATCGCGGTTTCTCAATCCGTTCTCTCAATCTTATTATTTCATCTACTATCCCGACCATACCACGATATTTCGCGTTTTAATCTTCCACATCTGCTGCACAGTGTGGCCGATGCGTTCAAATGCGGCAAAAAACATTTTTCAGCTGATATCACATATACAGGTTGGCTCATTAAATACTGCCTTTTAGCAGCTTATCCGAAAGTCTATCTTAACTGCCTTTTACGCAAAACAAATTTCAGTAGTTATTGAAAAATTCAATTAAAATGTTAATTTAATTCTTAAAACCTTTTTATTTATACGAGCTTCTCTTTGTCATTAAAGACTTTTATGTTGATTTTAATGTTATTCATTTTTAACATTTTTGTCGCGGAGATTAAGCATTTTTTAATTTATTATTTTCGTAACAGAAACATACTTGTGTTTGCTCTTTTGTTAATAATAAATATAAGAGACACCGTTCGATATTCTACATCGGTACTCTGACATATAGGTATTTCAAATATGAAGAATTTTCCCGCGGTAACAACGCATAGCTTGTAAAACTGCAGTCAACTTCAGGTCGATGCCGAATTGAACGTACCGGTAATATATGGTGGAATATTCTCGCGCGTTAAAGTGAAACTTTCAATATCTGCATAAAACGTTTCGTGAAGTAGTGTTATTGCTGATTAATGTTTTAATTACTGCAACCGCGGAAACATATATTTCAGAATAATAATACGCAGTATCAATTATTGCAAAGGTAGGTTACCCGTGTAACATTGTCGTGATGTTCATGAATAGGTCACAGTATAAATTTATAAATCGTATCGTCAATTGCGATATTTGGTTGACAGGGCTAGGAAAAGACAGTTTTTTTTAATAGTTTTAATGATTTTTCTTCGATTTTGATGTGTACTACACGAAATAAAGTGTGTGTGGGGGGGGGGGGATCGTAAAACATACTGCGTAATAACCAAATATCGATTGTAGATTCTATTTCTCGACCGTGGATTAAGGTATTTAGCTAAAATAATTTTGTGAAAACAGTTTTCTAATAGTTTCTCCACATAGTTTCGATTCTTACGATCTATGTACGAAGTGAAGTGACGGGTGTGAAAATCATATAAACGTACTGCGTAGTTGTTTATTATTGATCGTAGATTCTAAATTTCGATCGTGGATTAGGATATTTAGCTAAAATAATTTTGCGAAGACAGTTTTCTAATAGTTTCTCCACATTGTTTCGATTCTTTCGATATATTTGTGGATTAGGATATTTAGCTAAAATAATTTTGCGAAGACAGTTTTTTAGTAGTTTCTCTATATTTTTTTCGATTTTTGGATCTTTTCACGAAATAAAGTGACGGGTGAGAAAATCATATAAACGTACTGCGTAGTTGTTTATTATTGATCGCAGATTCTAAATTTCGATCGTGGATTCGGATATTTAGCTAAAATAATTTTGCGAAGACAGTTTTTTAGTAGTTTCTCCATATTTTTTTCGATTTTTGGATCTTTTCACGAAATAAAGTGACGGGTGAGAAAATCATATAAACGTACTGCGTAGTTGTTTATTATTGATCGCAGATTCTAAATTTCGATCGTGGATTAGGATATTTAGCTAAAATAATTTTGCGAAGACAGTTTTCTAATAGTTTCTCCACATTGTTTCGATTCTTTCGATCTATTTACGAAGTGAAGTGACGGGTGTGAAAATCATATAAACGTACTGCGTAGTTGTCTATTATTGATCGTAGAGCCTAAATTTCGATCGTGGATTAGGATATTTAGCTAAAATAGCTATTTAAAATCAGTTTTCTAATAGATTTTCCAATTTTCTTTTGTCTAGTTCTTGCTGCAAAATAACGAGGAGACTTCAAATTGTAAGATGTCACAAGAGTGGACGCTAAGTGGTGCTGAATGTATAACGAAAAGGTATAGTGAAACTTAAAAATTTTCAAATCGGTATAACTAAACAAATATTGCAAAAAAGAAATGTGTAACTTTGTTCAATTTTTGTATGTTCTAGGTAGATTTTACACTCTATCATTCACGGTTCAATTATAATGGATCATTTATAAGAGAGAATGATAGTTTCACATGATGTATAAGTGGACTTCTTCATAGTCGTGCAGTGATCTTAAAAATGGACGAATGTTAATAAATATGGTAATATATCATGCTCTATAGTCACAGTTATTTATTCCACAAATAATATTCTCTAAAACTAAACTTTCCTAACATGTCATTTTGCAGGTTTTTGGTGTTTCATTCCACACTGCGCCATCAGAATTCGACTCGATCTCCTATCGGCAGGCACCGTGACTTCTAAGATAACCCGAGGAAAGAACGAAGCAACAACGAACATTTCGGCAACCGAATATGACACACGCATCACTTGTTCCTAGAATGCAAACGCTTCCCCGATAAGCATCCTAACGAGTTCAGGAATTCAACGACTGGCGTGGAGTTCTCTAGCTAGGGTGGCTAATCGGCGGCATAAGCCGCGCTCTATTTAATTTGCGTCCGTGACGCCGGCGTAAGGTTACAACCGGGTGCTGGCCCCCTCGCTCTTTGAGGTCGCTGCTCGATGCTGGTTGGTGTCGGGGGTGGACTGGGTAGCGATGGCGATGCCGGTGGTGTACGCGGTGGAAACTGTACGAAGCACGGACCGCTGGTCGAGGCTGGATGGACGGACGGTGTTCGCTGGACAAGGACGCGACGAGGGAGGAGTTGTACCTGGATCACGGTGCATGGGACGAAGCAGGAGGGCTAGCAGAGGTGGTGGTTCCCTGGTGCGCAGCCTGAGCTGCGGTCGGAGCTTCTCGTAACCCCGGCACACGGATACCCGTACTTAGGCCTTTGCCGGCGTGTACGTGCACGGGCTAGGTGAGTCGGGTAGCCGTGGCCACCTCACGGAACCGTGAGAGCGCAAGATGTCTACGAGTGTGGGTCGAGCGAAGCCGAGGGTGGTCGAGGACAACCGGCTGCGCACGAACCACGAATCACCGCGGGAACCTGTCGCGCGCCACGAAAGTCGAACAGTCTCTCACTGGCGCCCGGCGCGGCGAGTGGCCCGAGAGACTGGATTTCGTGCGAGTCGCACAGAGCTGTGCGATCATCGTTGAACGGGCAAGAGTGGAAGAACGAAAGGACGCATATAGAGAAGCATATCGACAGATACGTCATCCCAGCGTGGGGGCCCGAGTGGACGGTGGTAGACGTTTCATCCGAGGGCATCTACCCCTTCTTCGAGGCCCGATGACCGTCGCACGCGAGGAAGAGGAGAGTCGACGGTGGACCAGGATGGGCCGTTGTCTGTTCGTCGATTCCGCACGCCACGTGGTTCCGAGCTTCCTGTCCGTTTGGATCATCGTCGTGCTGCTGAACGGTGAGTGAACACACCTCTTACCTTTTCACGCGTATCTCGCGATCGACTCCCCGAACGGGAGTCTTTTGTCCCGAAAGGGACAAAGGAGTGGATCTGGTAGGAAATCTAAATTAGCTTTACGATTCGTTGGATATCTACGCGCTTAGTTTCTGCTATTTATAGCAGTACATTGGGTTTCCGGTTGGTTTCGGTGGAGTGTAGTAGGTCGGGGGCTGCAGCGGGGGGTAGAAGCGCGACGAGTAAGAGCGATCGACTAAGGGGCCTTAGCAGACACCTTCGTTTCGATCCGCTGACTGTGCCGAATCCTCTCCGAATTAGCACAATTGCGAGCAAGGGGTGGTTCCTCCGAGGTGCTCCAATCGTCGGATCCTTTTCCACCCCGATATTTTATCGGTTTCATCGCGTAACTCGGTCCGGATTGATCGATGGTTCCCAAAAGTTTCCATTTTTACTGGTCCTCGCTCTCGTCGTGAAATTTCGCTCGGATCCGGTCGCATCGTGACCGGAAGGGTACCTGGAAATCGGTTCTCGCGTACCCAGAATCTCGCCAGTTCTTATCGAGTCTGTCGGTTAGACACGAATCGGAAGAAAGAGGGAAATTTTTGCGAGACTTGCCGTAACAGGCAAACGAATCTACCTTCGTTTCCGGGCGAGCAAAACGACGGGAAAAAAGCTAACGAACTCGGCCAGCGAGTCCGTGACCGGGGTTCGAACGAATCTCGGCAGCCTCATAGGAACGACGTCGATGGGGGTCGAAGGTAGATTGGCAGCTGCCATTTTTACGACTCGTTGGAGCTGCGTCGTTCGAACACGACCGGTAGGATTACAACGAGAGTCGAGAACGTTCGATGAACGCAGTCAGGCTTGTTTTCATTCCTTAGTCCTTAACTTTGGCTGCGAGGTCGCGTATCTACGGGAAGGTTCCACGAGTGGCTAAGTCGATGGTCGACGACTCGTGTTTTGGATTTTTTCCTCACGAACTCGAGCATCGCTCGACAACAACACGCGCTTAGCCTCGTGAACGTGCGGACGGGGAACAAAGGCGGCATATAAATAAAGATCGTAGACAAGGGGCGAGCACGGTGGCCTATCCGGTGACGCGATTCGTAGGAAAATATCGTCGATAAAGCGACCGCTATATTTCCTTTCGGCGCGTTACGCGCGTCGAAACGCAGGATCCCCCGAGCTGACGTGGTTTATCGCGTGCTCCTCTAAAATTTAAACTGCCTCCGCTGAGCTGAATCGTAGCCGGATTTATGGCGCAGCTTGCAACTTACGGACGTTCGCGCTACGGAACAACTCGTACGAAGGATCCTACGCGCTTCGTTATGGAAGTTTAATAGCCGATGGCTAATGAAATCCTGTCACTGGCCGGCTACTACTCTGTTTATCGCCGATCGGCGTTGCTTTCCTCTGATCGCGTTCGTTTCCCGTTTTGGACCGTTAGGCTCGCGAAGCAGACTTACGTAGGCGAAGATAAATACGAAACGAGTGGAGGGAGCGAGGGTTGAAACGTTGGAGCCAAGGATATTTCGTGGCTCACCGATATCGATTACCTTTCAGCCGTCCAAAACTGCAAGTTAATTATCATAATAGCCGGCCATAGATAGACCGTGAATAGAGACAGGAACATCGGCGATCTCCTGCCAATGAAATCCATTTCCCTTCTGCCACGGGCGATAGAATCGCTCGAGGACGTTTGATCGATGACGTTGGCGTCGGGGCGGGCTGCCTGGGCTAGAGCAACGTCGGGATCCAGGGATCGAAACAGCGTTAAACCTACCTATGGTACGTCGACCTAAGGCACGCGTGAAACTCGTGTACCGCGAGACGGAAACGATAACGTTCGGCGACCATGTGATCGCGCTATAAAACGGTAACGGTTACGGCGAGAAAATGGTCGGAAGGAATTTCGGTCGTTGCCGGGATGACGATGGCGGCGGCAGCGGCGGCGGCGTCGGGGTCGGTCTAGGGGTGGAAAATCACGCGAGACACGTACGCGTGTTACGCGGCAGCATCGTGGAAATTAGTCCGGGCAGCAGACGGTCGACCCTCGAGTGTAAAGTTAACTTCCGGATGTAACTTTTGAATAGCGAGAACCGGGTCACGACTGCGCCTCGAGAGGATCGGGACTACTGCGAATAAGCCGAAACGAGGAAGATCGGGCCGGGGGTAAACCCGATCGACCGAGGGCCCGATACGACGCGGTGGTGTCTTCGCTCCACCGATCGTGTTCCGCGTTTTAACATGCAAAACAAGCCGGACCACTCTGTAATTTATCTTGTTATTTGCATTAGCGAATCGGGGTCAGCGAAACGTTTGCGGATACGGAAACAGATACCGCGTACGAGTGCATCCTTTTTTCACCGCTGCGACGCTAAACGAACGATTTGTTTGCGCGCCGTTTCAAATAATTCAAGCATCCATTCGGTGTCTGATTTCGCTGCTCGAGGGAGGTGTTTTCGACACGCGCGAGGGTTTTTGACATCGAATGATGCGCGGAAACGCGTTTTTTCGTTAATCGCGAAGAATCGCGTGGAACTCTTCGTGGACACCCGAGTACCGTGTTACACTGTACGATGGGGCGAATAATCAGCCCGGAAGGGAGAGAAAAATCCTGAAATTTGTCCGCGTTTATCCTCTTTGTCTGGTCCGGTCACGTTTGCTTCGCGTGCAAAGTTAAATTCGTCCGAATCGATAGACCGCGCGACGTACGTTCCAATTTCACCGGCTCATCGCGATCGTTCACGGCGGAATGGCGAGTAGATTTTAATCGTCGCGGAATTCATCGGCGCTTATTAAAATACCGACGGATGGTATCGCTGGACCGCGATTCGCAGTGTATCGGCCGCGAGTCGATTCGTTTCAACCCCGCGGTCCATGGCGGAAAGTTAATACGGTGAAAATTGGCCCGGCAATTTTCCTTTAGGAAGGTTCGGGCGCGATGTTAAAATCGAATCGAAAGGGCTCGAATTAATCGTCTCGCGTGGCAACTTGGCCCGGCCCTATTATCGCCGCTGTGAAATTTCGAGCGGAACGCGCCGGCATGCTAATTTGCCCGAAACGAAACTTAAGCAACGCGGTATCCGGCGATTAAGCGGCGGGATCGTTGATTTTCCCTGGCATTTTACCGGATTCTCTGACCCTGACATCGCGCCACCGATTTACCGTCAAAGGCGATTACGAAGGGTGAAGCGAAGTTAACTGCGACGCGGCGGAAGGGCAATTCCGGAGCGGATCGAGTCTACGGGGTCGCCTAATGTCGCTAATGGAGAACGCGCCGTTACGTCAGGTGTAGAGGAATAATTGTCTCTGGGAGAATTAGCCGGTTGCTCGAAGATTACTCGAGGGACGGCGATACCTCTTCGTCGAACAAAACCACCCCGAACGCCATCGGCGCGTCGAATCGTCGCGTCCTTGCTCGCGTTCCAGACGACGACGACGACGACGAGAAGGAATATCGTGGATCGCGAGAGGAAGATGGAGCGAGTGGACACTTAGCATTTATATTCTTCTTTGAGCGGCTGCTGAAATGGAGCAACCGCTCCATTTCTCCCCGGTTCCTTTGAGAAGCTCTCCTTATCGCTCTCAGCCTCGAAGGATCTCCAGGCGCCTTTTCCGATTTCAATTCAAGTGCGTTCGAACACCGAACGTCGCTTTCATCGTTATTGGATTAAAGGATTAACTCTTGGATGTACGAAGAATTATAAAGTCGTCCGGCTGCCTTTGAAAGTCGATAGCTCGGTGTATTTCGCCACGCGGTAGATAAATTTCTCCTCCCTTTAATTCGTCCGGCGAAAGATGCCGTGCAACTTTCTCCACCTTTCTCACCCCTCTCCCCTTTCTTCGCTAACGAATTTAAACGTTTCATCCGGATACCAACCCTTCGTCCCGTATTTCTCCCTTTTAAATCGAACCCAGTGTATATCGCGTTCCTCTTCCCCCTCTTGTTACCATCGAAACAGGAGACAAAGGGAAAGAAGAGAACCGTGAAACGAAGGACGTAACGAGACAGGGGGTCGTTTCGCGAGATTTTCGGGGATTACGATCACGGACACGCGTAATCGCGTGCGACGACGCTAATCGCGAAAACGCTGCGGAGCAACGGGGATGGTTGATCTCGCGGAAGTCTGCTCATGCTACTCGTCACTCGTGAACTTTAATTTCCTGCCTAACGCGGGCTGAATACATTAGGTATCTAATTCGGCCGACAGGTCGTCCGGGCGTTTCTCGTTCGACGATCCGGATCCGGAACCGTCACGCCGCGCCGTGTCTTAACGAACGGGAAAAGTGGGGAAAAAGGAAAAACTGGCAGCTATCATCGGCTAACGAAGAACGAATAAAAAACCGATGGCGATACTCTGGGCTGTGTGGGCGAATATTCGGCGCGCAGCGCGCACGTATGCTCGTGTTTTTATAAGTTCCGCGCGTGTGCGATGCGATTTCACGGAACGCGACAAATATTTGGACAATGTACATCTACGATGAGAACGATGATCGTTATTCGAACCATCGAGCAAACAATATCGGAATGACGCAATTATAACCGATACATTTCATTGCCGTTTATACGCCCGTGCCCGCGTATCGCAACGTCCACTTTACCCTCCGTTTTTCCGCGCACCGTTTCGATAGCAAAGCAATTAGTTAAATTTTAATTAAAACGATGAAACGAGCAACGCAACGAGGCGACGCATCGGGCGTTATGGCGTACGATCGAGCAAGATCAAGATCGATTAAACGCCCCGTCGCGCCGCCCGTTTTTCGGGGCCACGACGATACAGCCGCGCGTCACACCTCTGCGGCGAGGTTAACTCGCGGCGGAAATTTATGCCAACGCCGACCATGCGAATCTGCGGTTCGTCCGTGGGAACGTCGACTCGCGAGCGCGAAAGAAAAGGGAAAAGGGGCGCGAGCCGTTTTCCGACGAATTTCAACGGGAAGTTGGCGCACGAACGCCGGTATGCAAATTAAACAGCAGTCTAATCAAACCCCATCCC